CCCCCCTCTCAACGTATATACCATGACCACCCTGCCCTTCCCCTGCCCGTCATAAGCGTATATCCGTACGAACCCCCCTCTCCCCCTCTCCCCCTCTCCCTCCATCCCCGAGAGGTCGTAATTCATCCGGCATCGGACGAAATCACCCACTATGAGGGCAGTTAAAACCACCACCATCACGATCATCATTACCCCCAACATTATCGGACTCTGATAAGCCACGTGGCCAATCAAACCTCCCTCTGCCCCCCCCCCCCCCCCCCCCCCCCCCTTCTTTCCATCGCCATCACTACCTGTACCAATCAACCAATCAATAAAAGGTATCCACCACTCAAAATCAATCAATCAATCAATCAAAACGTATCAACCACTCAAAAGCAATCAATCAATCAATCAATCAATCAATCGAAGAGAACGAAGATCCATCCATCAGCGACCGATCACATGTTCGCTCATTCAACAGAAGAAAAGCACCAACCAATTAACGATTAACAACAGACTGCATTTGTTTGCCCATCATGCCGCTCATTGTGCACAAAAATCAACAGAACAGAAGAAAAGCACCTACCAATTAACGACCTGGGTCCGTTCACACATATCATCGATCCATCATCCATCATCCATCATCATCATCATCATCATCATCATCATCCCTCCGTCTCTCACCTTGCAAGATTTCTCCCCGATAGATGATGAAGATAGATTCCTCGCTCACACGGAGTGATTAATGCAGGCGTGCTTGGTTTGCTGGCGTTGAAGCTGAGTTCTTTGTTGACTGCAGAGTGTGAAATCGCCCGACATGCTCATCATCTGCAGCTGCTGTTGTTGATGATGAATCTGTTGGACCTGCTGCTGCTGGAGGTCGGAGGCGGTCGCCGCCGCCTGCGCTTCTTTGGCTATCCTCGTTATGCGCTCGATGACCACATCAAGCGCCGGGCGGGTCTGTCTTGATGGGCTGGCACACTCGAGAGCGAGCTCCACCACCTGCCGCACACATCCCTTCTCGTACGTCCCGATCGCGATCGCCTTGTCGACGAGATCGACGGTGGACAGATCATCCTTCATCGCTCGGCGCGCCATGCCTATCACGCTATCCCTCTTCCTGTCCGCCGACGACACGGCCGTTCGACCGAACGGCCGCTTGCCAGAGATCAGCTCCAGCAAGATGACCCCATAGCTATACACATCCGACGCCGATTCGATCCTGCCCGTGTGCAGGTAATCAGGAGCCTGGTACTCCGTCTTGTGCAGGCCATGATACGCCACGTCGAGACCCCGACCTTCCAGCGCCAAGAACGCGATCCCGTAATCGATCAGTCGGGGCCGCATGTACTCGTCCATCAAGATGTTCGACGGCTTGAGGTTGCCATGCACGATCCCACTCGGCCCGGCCTCCTTCTTCCTGTGCAAGTAGTCCAAAGCTTTGGCTATGGCGGTCGCTATGTGCAGCCTCTGCAGCCATCCCAGTCGAAAGGGCTGGCAGGCCTCCTTCAAATAGCACTCCTTGTTCCCATGCAGCATCGTCTCGAGGCTGCCGAGTGGTATGTACTCGTACACCAGCGCTCTCTCCCCCGCCTCCACGCAGCATCCCCACAGCTTCGCTAGACACATGTCGTCCGCCATCGCCAGACCTTCCACCTGCCTTATGAAGTCCATCCCCTCTGTCAATCCGTCCGTTCTCGTGATCCTCTTTACCACCACCGTCGAGCCATCAACCAACGTACCCCTGAACGTGTTGCCATACCTTCCCGCGCCCAACAGATTGTCCGTGCTGAAGGATCTGGTCATACCTTGCAGTAAGATTAGGTTGAAGACGATACACGCGTAATCCTCGTTAGTAGAGGCGATGGAGGCAACAGAGGCGTCAATGCTGAACGAGCGATGATCCATCAAGGGATAGCCGACATGGACAACGCGGTCATGAGGGGGGGGGGGCTTGCGGTCAGATCCTCCTCCCCCCGGGTGGGTGGCAGCGGCGGCGGCGCCGCCGCCATCTGCGGATGACATTGCGCGCCCTACACCCCCTAGTGATTCAGAGATGGGGTAGATATGCATCAAAGGAGGGGGAGGGGGAGCAGCGGAGGAGGGAGAGGGTCCGATGTGATGATGAGATTCGGTGAGAGAGTAGAGAGGGATATGCACGCTGGTGGAGGCGGTGGCCGCCGCCGGCAAGGGAATCACGTTAGAGCGGGAGTAAAGAGGAATCGCTTGCGACCGGTCGACGACCGGGGTCGCCCGACCGCTGGCCCACATGGGCGGATGACGCGCATGACCATGGCGACGAGGTCCTCGATGAGTATGAGCATGAGTATGCGGATGATGATGAGAGCGGGAACCACCACCACTCCCCCCTACGTGACGTGTGCCATGCTGCCGCCTTCGTTGCTGCTGCTGCTGCTGCTGTGCAGCCATCAACACCGCCGGGCTCGCTCCCGCTCCCGCTCCCGCTAAATTAGCCAACGACAGCCCCGGGTCCTTCTTCAAATGCACATAGTACACGTACACCGTCGCCGCCATAATCAACCCGAACGCTAGCAGTCCTGCCATAATTCCCCCCACCATAATCGGGAATTTACTCGGGTTACGCTCGCGGTCATTTTTCCCACTAGAAGGGAGGGTTTTCCCCGATCCCGATCCCGTCCCATTCCCCCCCGCCGCCGCCGACCCTTGTCCTGTCGTTCTCCCCGCTCCCGCTCCCGCTCCCGATCCCGATCCCGATGCCGCCGACCCGCCACTCCCACCACCTGAAGACGGTGCCGATAAGTTGAGACATTGCCGACAATCCCTTGAGCAAATCGGTGAGGCAGAAGGGTCAACCTCCGGAACACTAGGGCAGCTTCGTAAACAGGCCTCCGTTTCGCTCTCTGAAGCACAGCAGTTATCGTTGATCGGACAGCTGGAACCGCAGTTGAGCTGCTCACAGTAATTATGCGCAGTAGCAGAGGCAAACAAGAAGCTAGGAGAGCCAAGGCCGCTGCTGCCGCTGCTGCTGCTGCCGCTCTGCAGAGGCATTGTCCCCATCAACGCAACCACAACTGAGAGAATCAAATAGACCCATCGGGGGCCGAAGGGGGGACCACCACACACACAGCCCCCCCTAGTCGATACACGGAATCGTCGGGGTCGGGTCGAGCAGCCAACCCTGCTGCTTCTACTACTACTACTGCTACTACTAGGACTAGTACTACTGCTACTGCTACTACTACTCCCCCCCCGGCTCCTCAACTGACCTACACACGTTCTTCTTCCTCCTCGTTGTCCTCCGGTACTCCTGCTACTCCTGCTGAAAGTATTGTGGTCCAAGGAGGAGCAGGAGGAGGAGAAGGAGGAGGAGGAGGACGAGGAGGAGGGCGAGTGGATGATGGCATCGGTCGGGTCGGAGACTGTAAGCCTCCTTTCAGACGTCAGGCCTGCCTGGCAGGAAGAGCGATCCATCATCACCACCATCGCCCACTGCTCTGCGTCCACGTCACTTGCTTCTTCAATCAACTAATCAATCAATCAGTCACTCTTAATTAATCATATGTGAATGAATGTGGAAAGCATCAGCGGCAAGGTTAGCGCCAATATTTCAGCGGCGTTCATCTCTTCTCCTTGTCTGTCGACAAATACATATCATTCATAGACAATTGGTTCTAGTAGGATCTTGTTCTTCTAGGATATATCGTGTATATATATATATATATTGTCACATGATATCATATTAAGGTCGACCGAACCCCTCACTACTACTACTACTAGTCTCCTGAACCCGAGAGGAACACAAAGACGTGCTCGAATATCATGATTAATAATTTATTATTGTAGCATTATCATACTACTCTATTATATATTCAATTATTTTAATAACGTGTTAGTCAGAGATTCTGCTTCCACTAATAGGATCCAATAAAAACGAGCACACCTTTTGCACTAACGACATGGAGACCATTCCCCCCCCCGCTAATTAATTCACCAATTAACACCCCCTTCCCCTTCTCCTCCTCCTCCTCCTCCTCCTCCTCCTCCTCCTCCTCCTCCCCCCCACCCCCCGTCAACGAATCAATCCCTCCCCCTCCCCCCCCCCCCCCCCCCCACCCCCCCCCCCCATCCTCCTCCCCCCCTGCCGACATCGTGACACGTGCTCGCACACGACCAACCAACTTACCCCGGGCCCCCGCACGTTTCCACTCGTATTGGGATGTTTCCACTCGCTAATACAATAACAGTATCCCCCGCCCTGATGATGTTCCTTAACACTAATCATCACTAGAGTTGACATACTACTACTAATTAACAATCAGATAAGTTAATCACATATTAGTCAGCATCATCATCATCATCAAGACTATAATCATCAAATCATTACAGAATCATCTTAATCCCAATTAACAATTGCAATCATCATTCGGAAAACGAAAAAAGACAAAATAAATAAAAATCATTGCTGCCATCATCATAATCATCATCATCATCATCATTTTCATAAGACGCACAAAGAACATCATCCATCTTCCATCGCCATCATCATTGTGACCGTCTCTACAAAGAGAGATGCTCATGAAAGAGAGGACGGCATCCCTGTTCAGCACGTTTAAGCCGGGCAAGCTCCAAGCTCTCAGCGATGGCGATCGTCGTCGCCGCTCTGCTGCTTCTCATGGTGAACGAGGACCGCAAGCGGAGAGAAAAAGGATGGAACAGCGATGGCGGCCCATCTCCAAGGAGGGAGATGAAGGGGATGGAACAGCGATGGCGGCCCATCTCCCAGGAGGGAGATGAAGGATAGATAGCGAAGCAGTGCGGGGAAGGAAGGGAGGGGAAGGTTTAGGGCGAAGGAAGGTACACAACTGCTTGATCGAGTAACAATTTTTATTTTTTTATATATTTAGGGGAAAACACTTGCTCTCTGGACAACGGAGGAGTCCTCCGAAGAATAGAACAAACTCAATACTTTTTTTTCTTTTTTCTTTTTTCTTTTTTTTGCCTTCTTCAGATTGCAAACGACGGCTCCGTTTTCCACACGCCATGTGTCAGTCGGTAAGCGGCTGGATTGAAATTGAAATTACCCCCACTCAATCGAAAGGTAGTGAAGCGATTACTCTCTTTCGAACGACCGGTAGGTGGTAGTACACCTTCCCTTGACGACCGACCGACAATTGGCTCTTCATCTTTTCACCACGTCGATCGTTTTCACTTTCATCCTTTTCCAGAAAGAGGCGGGAAAAAAAAAAAAAAAAACAATCATAGCCAGGCGATGGACAAAATTGTGCCGAAGGCTACGTGTTCCCATCCACGAGGAAGTGACAACCTGTTTGTTCCTTCCTCAGTCACGACTCGCTGAAACTTCGCTATCGCTGAAACACAAAAAAAATCGTAGAAGGATCTTCGGACGACTTGAGATGACGCGACGACAACGGCGACGACGATTCGCTGCAATTTCGCGGAAACATCGCCGAATCTTCAGGCGGAAACAACCCCGAATACAACGCCCGTCATTAGTCGTATTTTGGCTCAACTTTCAGGTTAGATGCAGAGCGATGATGACCGTTCTTTCTATTCTTTGAGGAAGACGCTAGTGGGTGCTATGAGGGCGATCCCAAGGCGCAGGAAGAAGATAGCAGCGATGGCGCCGACCCTCAAGAGCGTGATGATGATGATGATGATGATGATGATGATGATGATGATGACGATGATGATTAGGATGACGACGATGATGCTTAGGATGACGACGATGATGGCGGATAATGATGATGATGATGATTGATCGCCATCGGTATCTCGATGTGAAACGGGCATCATCGCTGCTGTGCTCGTCCTCACACCTCTTCCTCCTTTCCCTCCTTTTCGTTTTCTTTTTCTGTATTTTCGTCCGCTTGTTCTTACTTCCAACTTTCGTCTCACACCTTTTCTTTCCGTCTTCCTTACACTTATATGTATATATTCATTTCTTTTTTTTTCTTTTTTTTTCGCTTTTGCGCTCTCATATTCATGTACATATTGTCACATGATATCAAAGCGCCAAAGTGAAAAACAAACAAGAAAAACAAGAAAAAATATATATACATATATTGTCACACTGTGAATCCGAGCGCAAAGGCGGCAAAAAGCAAAACAAGGAAAGGAAAAGATGTCCGGAAGAAAATTCCCACCTGTTCATCACCTCTTACGTCTATACCTAAAAGTTCTCCTAAAACAACCACAGTTTGTTCGCCACTAACCGCCGCCGCCGTTAACCGCCGTCGTTGTCCGTTTAAACAATAAGGAGGAGGAGGGATGGTTCCGTTATAACCGCCGCCATCGCGGTACACGTTATAACGAGCGGCATGCATAGATGCACGTCGTCGTGTGAATGGTGGGTGGGTCGTTAACTGCCATCTCCTCTCTCACCTACTATCATACTCCTCTCTCGCTATGCGCCTCGTATGCCTCTCCCGCCCACCCCTCCCTCACTGCTTTGCCTCTTCTAACGAACGGACAGCCAATAAGACAAGTTGCGTCGTTATATAACCTACCTTTTTTTTTTCTTAATTACCTTTCTTTGCATTCCTCGTTTATTATAACTATTCTTGTTATTATTATTATTTTTTTCATTATTACATATATATCGTCAAATAGAACTGCCCGGTAAACCGTAGGCAGAGAGGGAGAAGAGGACAACAAACGAGGGGCTGTGTGCACTGCCGTCGGACATCATCGTGCCGAATTTGCTAATCATCATAAATAAATAAAAATTAAATGCACCCAGTGTGATAATCATTATCATTAAATCCAGCGCCCGCATCTCTCGTGCTCTCCAGATGCTTGATTCTTTTTTTCTACTCAATTATTGTTCGTTTTTTATTATCAGAATTGAGAACACACATTTGCCAGTTCTTTTATTTATATTTATTTATAAAACTACATAAAATTAACAATTCAACATGCATTTGCCATTCCAACTTCACGATGCGCGATTAGCGTTTCACATTATTTCGTGGTTACTTCCCGTGATAATATATTATTTAGTATTTACTATTCTCGTGCTCTCTGTGGATGCTATTTACTATTTTCGTGCTCTCCGGACGCTTTTTAACTTCATTATTATTCATTAATTAATAATTAATAATTTATTTTGCTATTCTACTAATTTCGTGACTACCTCCAGTGATTATTTGGTGTGATTATTTTTGGTGTGATTATTTTTGGGGTGATTAATTTTGATGTGATTAATTTCGGTGTGATTGGGCTGACTCCACTACTCACCACATGCACAAAAGACAAATATGGCAGTGTATCATCCCATGTTCCACGGTAAGATTCATTCTCATTTTGCACATTTGGCGAGTACTGGAACGACGCCCATTATTTGGTGATTATTTGGGGATTATGTGATTCAGAAGTTCAGAAAAAAACATAGCGCGTTAATAATCACGAATACTAGCAGCTTCAGCTGTAGTGCTCATAGCACCCGTCTTCCCCCGAACACAACGCACCCTCATTTCGGCTGCATCAGACCCAAAAGATAGCTTGTATACATTCGCTATCAGGGTGCGTTGTTTTCGGGGGAAGACTGTAGACTGTATAAGAGGAATGGAAGTAGTAGTAGCAATAGTAACAGTGAAATACACTACAGTAGTTCTATTCTAATGCTTTCACTAATAGCACTACTGTTACTATCGCTATTACTGTATGCTATCACTATTTACAGTAGTACTCTTTGTAATACGACTATTATAGCTGAATTTAGACTGAAAGATAGACCAAATTCAGCTATAATGACCGTGCGTTGTATTCGGGGGAAGTCTGTAGTTCTATTCCTAATGCTATCACTAATAGTACTACTGTATGACTATTTTACTATTTTACTATTACAGTATTATTATTACAGTAATAGTACTAATAATGATGAAGTAATAGACTGGCTATAATTGCATTTATTAGTAACATAAAAAAAATAATAATGGTAGCAATAGTCGCAGGAAAACAAGTAGCACTAGCAGTACAGGTAATACAACCGTCTTCACCCGAATAGAACGCCTGGCCATTACCGCTGCATCTGGACTGAAAGTTCCCCAAGATACAGCTATAATGATCGGGCGTTCTATTCGGGTGAAGACGGCAGAGTACAAATCCTTAAGTATAACAGTACTCATAGTTCTCTCTCTGCTTACATCATCATCAATAAATTCAACACTTGATTACGACCTTCTTCCCAGAAACCAATGAACGGTCATTATAGCTGTATTTGGTGCATCTTAGAGTCTAAATACAGGTATAATGACCGTACGTTATATTCGGTGGACGAAGCTATAATGCGACTGAGCTTCCCACCATCACTTTTCTGCTATCAGTATTCCACAAGCAAGACGTATCACTCGGCACACACACACACACACACACACACACACACACACACACGCACACGACCATTTTTCTGAGGGGTAGCGCTAACTCTGGGCGATGTCGTGGGTCCTTGTCCTTCTCCAGTAGTCAAATGCATCCTGGGCAGACTGTCTGTCCAGGTTCAACCTCCTGATGAGTCGGTGAAAGTCCGACGAAACATTCTGGCACAGTCTTGCTTTTCTTTAACAGTATATATAGAACATGAGTAGTTGAGAACACACACACACACAAGAATATGAGAACACACACGCACGTTGTATATAGAAAGACCTGACAAGTAAACGGTATAGGCAGGCAGGAAGGAAGAGAACAGAACAAGAAAAACGCCCACATGGATGTGCATGGCA